TATAGAATATTAGGTTTAACGGAGTGAATCCTAATTAAAAAAATAGTAATGATAAAATAATAAATCACCTCGTTACGCTGCTATCATCTTTATCAAAACAATATCCAAATTTAGCAACGTTATCTTTCACGCCGATTAATCCATTAGGTTTCAATCCTTTTCTACACCTTCGAAAAAAATTCACCATATCATCATCCGTCAAATGTCCAAGAACCCATTGACACCATATTAAGTCATATTTTCTTTCTTCGGGTTCAAATTCTTGTAATCCCATGCATATAAACTTTCCGATTCTTCCATTCCTCCTTTCGTTGGCCAAATATACTTTTTCGGCATGCTTAATGAATTTTGGTGTATATTCAACTAAGTCGACTTTATCAAACACCTTCAATAAAAAATGTTTTGAAACTCTTCCTATGCCTGCACCACAATCACATGCATATTGAGTGTCTATTCGCGGAGGAACTTTGACGATGTTTCTGGCACCTTTCTTTCCACGAATGTATTCTAACATGAATTCCATAGAACCTTTTGTCTCAACGCTTGTAACCGAGCCGAAGCCGCCAAGCATGCCGTTTATGGTGGCTGGTGCTTCGGACCAATATTCTAACAGATAATAAAGTATTAAATATACTTACTGTAATTAAGATTTTATGCTAGCACTTGTCAGAAATGATCTAACCTAGCGCATCAGTGTACCATCCTTCCCTTGCAAAGTCTGAAGTGTCGTTCTCTGTCTAATATTTACTTAATCGTAAATTAGCGCATAAACAAACAAAAACGCTTTTTGACGCGAAAAAATGGACGTGCGTACCTGTTCCATTCTTGCTAAAATAAATTCTATACGGGTCGTGGCATAGAAATGTCGCGGCCTTATAGAGCTTTTATTTGATTGGCTAATTAAAAACCGATTTTACTAATTTTCTCAAATTTCTATTGGCTAGGATTATTCGCACCAAGTTACACGATATTACCTTCTAGTTCAGTCAGGGATTTTACCAAAAATGGGGGACGTCTAAAGCCATGTCCAGTCACGTGTTTTTTGTTTTTAATTAAAATTAGGTTAAGGGTTAGTTTAGCATGACAGAAGTTCGATTTATGCACCAATGTTACACAAGATTTGATATATCAAAAGTCATAGAAGTTTGGGGTCATGTCATATGACGGCATATCAAAAAAATCTTGTTTTCTTTTAAGCTTTGAATATGCAATTCTACAATCACTACGCAAACAATTTGTGAA